CGCCCTCCACCACAGCCTGGTGCGTTCTATGGTATTAGCTCTTGTGTTTAACTGAATCTGTCAAATGTTAATGTATTGGTGATCTGCAGCTGAGCTGAGAAAGACAATTTCTATGGTATTAGCGATTTACGATCCTGATTGTAAAATAATAATTTAGCTAATCCACACCAGTCCCAAGGAAAGCTCTAGATGAACAATCAGGTTTTAATGCTTCACTAAGTACTATAAATATCACCGGCCCAGATTGACAGATGTCGTTGCAGGAATTTGAATTTGGCTAAACCAAACTAGGGGCAACCTAAAGTCATTTGAACTTAATTGAAGCCTGCATTTGTTCTAAGATGAGGCAAAAGAGAATTTCATACTTAATATCAATATGTGCAAACCTCATTACCATCACCCAGTGTACTGAACGTCTTGTGCCAAAAAGAAAAAAAAAGTGTAATCGCTCTCAGAAGTTTGTAAAATGCGCCATACATCTACCAAATGTAGTTGATGATGTAGTAAACGTTTAAGGTTTGTATGGGATACAAGAGGCAAAGATGACTTACCAGAAGAGGAGTCTAAACAGGGAACCAGAGGAAAGTTGAAGTCTCCACCCAGGAACGGATTATGGTGACCAAACCTCTCCAGGTCAGAGATCAGAGAGGCAAGAAAATGTACCTGGTCCTGGTTAGGGAAATAAACATTAGCCAAGGTGTAAATCATATCAAATAACTTAACTTTAACATCCCTGGCGGTATTCCCGAGTCTGGCTCGGGGTTAATTTTCCATACCAGGAGCGGTAACCCCGAGCCAGACTCGGGACTGGAGAGAAAAGTGACACTCACCTTGTCCCTGCGAGCCCGCGGCATCCTCTGCTGTACGCGGCCCGAAAATGAAACTAAAAGTCAGATGCCGGCAGCTAACTTTTAGTTTAGTTTTCGGGCGTCACAGCCGGCGGGAAATTCAAAAGTGAAAAGTTGCAATGTACACAGAATACACACAATACAATGTAATCTCCAATGATTACACTTATGTATCAAACTATTTCACTTCAGTTTTGTCCCTAGAGCTTTGTCCAGTGCCCTGCCTGACACTTTTTCACAATTTTAAGAAATTAAAATATAATAAATAATTATAAAAAA